TTGTTCCAAGTTTTCGGGTAAAATACATTTTTTTCACGTACAGTAATGTAGTTGTGCTCCGTACTTGTTTACCATAATTTACATTTGAATAAATACATAATTTTATGTAGAGATCATTTTTTTCGCATAAAAATATTTTGTTTCATTATGTCGGGCGGATCTTCATTCATAACCTTAATATAACGTAATTAGTGTAATATGTTAATCATACAAACTATAAAAAAACGAAAATGTTAAACGGGACGAACAAAATCACTTTCTAAGTGAGTTAAAATATATGTTTGTGCTTGCAGCAACGTATATCCTTCCCTCAAAACAGGACTGGCTTATTCTTATACTTCTTCATGACGGCTACGTCAAAGGCCCTCAAACTGGGGGCCTTTATTAAATTGGCGCATCCTCTCGCAATTCAGCATGTACGTGTACTTCGGAATGCGCCACTTTGTTGGGTAAAAGTCATTCCGTTTTATGATCTTTAAACTGCCAGTGAAACAAGGGTAATGTTTAAGTTTGGTTTTAATATTATTGTTGATGATTAATTGTTCTAGCTTTCTAAATGTATTAGTCGATTACACGTTTCACGAGCCAATCGCCTCTAAACATAAGCTGCGGTCCATTGGAATAAATAATCAGTTGTCTTTTGACTTCCCGTCAAAAAGTTGTTTCCATTATACATTAGGTAAAGCTGAATGCACTGAATGCATCCGCTGTAAACAAAAACATTAATTTAACTTCGAGTGACCCCCCGAAGGTGATGCGACATGCTTTGGAATACATCATATAAATTATAAATGACACCAACGTCACACCAACGTCAACTGTTGTTGACGTTGGTGTGAACATATTATCTTCAATTTTCTAAATCATTACCGCCTACCAGCGCGATATATATCCCGAAAACTAGTTTAATAATTTATAATGTTTTTGAGTCACGAAAGCTTGCTCTTGGATGTTTTGCGCTTTCATATAAATGACGGGTATCCGAACCCCGGCCCGCATGCCGAATTCGACCCGTGGACGTCTCCTGACCGGCCCATGGCTTGCCGCGGTCCTCGCAATGAAGCCAAGTCCACCGACCCCCTTCTATACTCCGCGACAACTTTTCTTGGCAATGCAGTGGAAGGTACGTCCCGCGTTCCCTCTCGCATTTTGAGTGTGCGCGGGCTCTCCTCCTCTCCCCGGAAATGGGGAGAGGAGGAGAGCCTGCGTACACTCAAAATGGGAGAGGGAACGCGGGACTGTACCTTCCACTGCATTGCCAAGAAAAGTTGTCGCGGAGTATAGCAGGCCCACTCCTACCGGCGTAAATGCGCCGCCATAAAGAGGGCTTCTCTGGTGGCGCTTTTTTGAACTACGCCGCGCGAAAGCCAATGGGATGCTCGTTCCTCGATGACGCGCGCCAGCCAATGAGAGACTATCTTTCGTCAGATTGCGGCTTCACTTCATGCCATTGGGGCAGGGGAGTTTAGGTGCCGTTTGGCGCGGCTTCAAAGCTGATGACGGCGGTTCGCTCCATGGGACAGTTTATGCTTTCGCAATAAAAACAGCGCGCTAAGAAAACGGCGCAGCAACGCGCACCAACGCCGGAAACCAAGATAAAAGAAACATCAATAGAAGACTTCCTATCGTAACGCGGATAACCTCGCCATATTAATAATTGAATAAAGTCATCATCGTGATTCTCGGTCCCGTTTTATATATTTCTACGTATGTGAAAATTCCATTCCGTTCTCAGTGCATTGCGCAATGTGTCTTCTATCGCACGGTTGGGCAGTATTGCGAAACAAATGCATCACGGTATTTGGAAATACTTTTAGTATTTATATTTCAGTACCTTGATACAATTTTTTTCAATCAATATCTCTATTTTGAGAATCGAAATACATAGTTGGTGTATTCCTTGCATCATGGAACACACTCCAAGAAAAGCCCGTGCCTGTACTTTTCCGCACAACACTCGGAGAGCCAATCACCGCAACTTACGGAAGCAGATCAGCGAATGTCGATGCAGAAACATATGTCTAGACCAAAAAAAAAAAAAAAAAAAAACACCAAGAAACGCAGTCTGAGTTGTGACATTAAGCAATGCAAAGCGTCACCCTTGCATTGTTTAATGCCACAACTCAAACTGCGTTTTTTTACCTAAACGTATGCTTTATCATCGTCATTCGCTGAGCTGCCTCCACAAGTTGCGGTGATTGACTTTTCGAGTGTTGTGTGGAAAAGTACACGCACGGGCTTTTTTTTAGAGTGCAATTCCGTGTCAATGCATCTAGTTACAATGTTCGAGAAAACGGTTATCCCCAAGTGAAAAAGAAATAGACTGTTTCCTTTGTTCTTTCGTGCTTCAGGGCGGCAGACGGTACAGTAAATGGCGACTGTGGGACTCTGTTATCAAGCAGACCCAAGTTTGTTTTGGACAAATGGCCCCGACATTGGTGGCTCCTTTTCCTATTTTCCAAAGATAACATATGTATTTCGGGTGCTTCAGATGGGCAACTATGTTGTAGAATCGAAACGTTGAAGGCACTGCGTAGGAGCTTTATAACTGTATAATTTACTCCCAGCCCCATTTACTAGGGCGAGCGTAGTTTCTTTCTTCCGATTATTATTAATATTATTATTACTATTATTATTAATAAATTTAAAAAAAAATTTAAGTGAGTGCAGAAAATGTACGGCACTAAACTATGCTGTCTTATCGGTGATATTTTGGTAGATATCGAAGGAATTAAGAGGTTCATGTTATGTTCCTTCGAAGGCGCGCCATTTTTCTAAAAGAGAACTGAACTCCATTTCATCTGAAACGTGTTTCCTGCCTTGTGAACACTCGCTTAGTTCGCACAGCGTTATGGTAAAAAGAAAATTTAAATTCTACGCGAAAGTAATTTTATGCTTGAGAACGTCCAATTTCAACTTCAATCTTTACCACACGGTTAGTATGATCTTTCGTTTTCACTGGAGGACTAGTTTTTCGCCTTAGAGGTACAAACACTTCCACCGAGGACTACCTATTACCGCCTCCAAGCAAAGTCTTTAACATAGAAAGTCGAAAAAAAATTTGCTTGGTGTAAACTTTTTCCACTTTGAAAGCGGTCTTCCTTCGTTTTAATATAAACCAGTGTTGGTTGACACTTGTGAAACGCTGAATTTCGTTCTCTAATATGACTATTTTACCACATCGTATGCGGCTAGCCGACGAGTTATTTAAAAAGCTACTTCATCATATGTAGTCGAGTGTAGCAGCAAAGTCGTATGTTTAATTTTGTTTTGTACTGATTTAATATGAAAAGATAAAATATGTAGCAGAAAGTTGTTTCATTTTTGTCTTACAAATAGTAACTATTTGTAGGTAATTCAAAAGCTGACATCCCACAAAGTTATTTAACAAAAAAGTATGTGAATATTACTGCCCCCGCCAATTGCATACCTGTATTAGTATTTCGAAATATATTTTTCTATTTTTCAAATGTTGTATTTCTGATGCAAATCGCGATTATTTTGTACCGATGTATTTCATTATCAGGGTTTTTGCTGCCTTCTTCGTGCATCCCAGTATTTATATTTCTAAATACATTTTATTATACCTCTGCCCAACTTTGCTGTATCGTAGATATCACGTATTAGCATATGTTCAACCATTCTCACTAGACATTTGCCCTGTGTGAGCATTCCAAAGTTTAATGGCGCTCTGTCTGATGCTTTGTGAGTTTCATGGGTCCCAATTAGAGTGCAATGTGATAATTTGCTTAATGTTGAATTTCAAAATAAAGTATATTCAAGATATCAATAACGTATATTGAGTATATTTAGTATATAAGGTGCTATATTTTTATTATAACTTTTACTTTCATATTTCAATGCTTATGTTCATTTATTTTGTATTTCGTCATTTTTATTTATTTATTTTTATTTATACTTACAACAAAAACAGATAATTGATGAGATGTTTTAATAAGAACAGCAGTTAACTGGAGCCAATTTTCTGAAACGTAAGCAGTCCGACAGCTTGGAGCAGCAAAAAAAAAAAAAAAAAGCAGAACTGCCTCATTTTCTTTCCCTTACTTATATTGTCCTGACTCTATCAGGGTCGTGTGTGTTAATTAAATATGTTAACCCCCCCCCCCCCCCTCACCCACCCCCAAACACTCTCTCAGACTATGAATTAAAGGGCAGACATTACTTTAAGAAAATAAACACAACCTTAATCAATCTTACTTGCTTGCCTCTTTCTTTGTACCTATTCTTGAAACATTTTAGTGTTTCTTGCTAGATCTTGCGCGCGTGCAAAAAAACAAGCAAATATACGTCTATAATTGTTAATGCAATAAAAAACGCACAAATGTTGCCCCTGTATTGAAAAAAATCATTATTTTATTCGATAGATTAGTGACTCATTCAACCATTTGATTTTTTGTTAATTTTACGCGCTCATGAACAGCCGATGCATTAATAAAAATGCCCAAGAGGAAGATCAGAGCTTAATCAGCGACAACTAACGTACAAGTAAACTTCCGTAAAAGAACGTCAAGAACCTTTGCACAGAGGGTTGTTGTATGGCGGGTATTATACTAATTATAGAGATTTGATTAAAAAAAAAAAGGTCGGGGGTAAACTTCCCAGTATGATTAAACCGAAGTCACTTCAAGTTTTGGCTCTCTCCTACGTCTCACTTTACGTTTGACCGCAACCAAAGCCACGATCCTGCGGAGCCAATTAAGCAGCGTCAAAAGCGTGATGTCACGGTGATCATCATCCCGGTGCGTTTGCTATCACAATGAAGCTAGGAAGCTCCCGGAGGCGACGTGATGCTATCAGAGTCAAAAGCCAGAAGTGTGGAGGGACATGCCCCTCACTATGACCGAAACCACAGGTGTGATTTCGGACATCGTTGGGGGCGTGTCCCTCCACACTTCTGGCTTCAGCTCTAGCGGCGTCCTCCGAATGCTTCCTACCTCCATGGCCTCTAGAGACGAGCGAAGGAAAGAGCGTGCACGTACGGTACCAGGAGCCAAAAGGGATGGCGCTGGCGTCGTCCCGGCGCCAGGTTACGGTGGGCGTGGGCTGCCCCGTGGCCGGGCAGCGGAGGCTCAGTTTCTCGCCCTCCGTCAGGAGCACGTGCTGGCTCTGTTCCGTGTCCACGATGGACGGAGGAACTGCCACAAGGGCGGCAAGGAGCGCTTAGATACGAAAATCCCACGAACGCATTTCTTTGTGAAACGCACTAAAGAAGCTTCTCGTAGACTCTCGTCACTACATGTCTTGACCGTAGTGTATAGTTTCGAACATGCCCAGCGGGCTACTTTCAAGATATAAAACAGCGACTTCCTGAACTATTTAAGCGGTGTCAATAAGCTCAAGCAGTGTCGTTCCGATTTCTCAAGGAATGTTTTAACCTTTCCGCAGAACGGAAAACCATTTCCTGCTATTTCAGGCCAAGCTTAAGATAATTGACAACGGGTTTCAAGCAACCTGATGGCTGAGGGGCCGTTACACTGCAGCGTAACTAATTTTGTGGTGCTAGAGGGCACTATCTTCCCAGTAAACTTCGCCGGAATTCTGAACCCGTCAACTTTGCTATAGACATCTGCGTTTAATTGAGGCCGACAGCGTGACAACCACTCAGGACAACACACACTTACGCCATCTATCGGGGAGTCCTGGTCCATTTCTGATCGGCAAATTTTTCCTGAGCTAGACTTAAGTTTGTGCAGCATTGGCTAGATCAAATATTCGCACTATGTGTGAAAAGTAATTTCTTGCAGATTTCACAAAAGTTCACAAAGCACCGCTTGCATACGTTGTGAAGCTTGAGTTAGCTTACAGATTGGTTCACACTAAAATCACTGTATCCTAGGAAAGCAGCGACATTGCATTCCCCACCTGCTAGCTGGACACAAACATATGCTAACCTACAGATGACTGAACCATCGCAAAGTGACTGGCTGATTAGTCTTCGTTGCCATGGCAATCGCCCTTTCGGTCCATTCAAATAGTTTAAGCTTCGATAGAGTCGTTATCAACCTGTCGCACCGAGATCGCCATGGACCATTATTGTATGGAAAGCGTTCTTTGCCACCATTAGCGCATTTGGCACATATGAACGCAATACATTTATCAGTAATCCCTATCTCCAAGTATATCTTACAATTATATTATATAGTTTTCGTAGACCGTATGATGGAACTCCGATTTGCTGGAGGGAGCTCGTGCCGTCCCTTTGAAGCATCGATTGAGCACGAGCCTCCTGAGCCCGCTCTCCGCAGCGTACGATCTACTAAAACACTCTATAGCTCGTCTTGCATATTTCAAGACAGGGGAATTATTTTTCTATCCCGCCAACCACCGAGGCATGCGAGAAATGTCTTTATAATGTAGCCTGTTGTCGGAAATTCGGATCGCCTTAATGTGGAGCGCAAGGTCGTCTCTTTCCTTTGCAGGAGTTGTAACTACGTCAGAACGCCGAGCTTTGATTGGTTCTGATTGTAGAATAGTGGGTAGACCTCAAGGCAGATTGCTTCGAGGTCTACCCCCTATCGTTCAACCAGAGTGAATGAAAGCTTGGCATTTTCACGTCGCAACAACCCCTGCAAAAGAAGCAGACGAAATTGTGCTCAGCATTAAGAATGGAGAGGTAGAAAACAAGCTAATGATTCCATGCAAAAAAAAACAAAAATAGAAAACAAAAATTCCGACCTTACGGGGTGCTTGGCGCAACTTTCATTAAATCCAGTGACTTTAATCAACAGGGCCCTATATCCTTGCGTTATTTTACATTACGAATGCATAACGTGCGCTTATGCCGGAAGTCACCGGCACATCTGTGCTTTGTATTAATCTTGGCTAGCAATTCAAAGGAAATAGCCTGCCGCTCGACATTCGAAACACGAATGTCTCACTGACTTATTAGTAACGAAAAAAAAAAAACAGTGCGGTGTGACCCAGCCTTTACGCGTCGTGCTCACCAACACTGTGACACGCGCTACTTATAGTCCAGGGACACGATGATTGGCTTTCGCGTGATACCCAGGAAAGTTTTTTGCGCTAGCTCTCATGATAAAGGTGCGGAGTATAAACCAGTGTCCGAAATCCTAGCCCCAGTGATAAAAAAATAATAAATAATAATAATCTCAAACGCAGGCATTTTGAAAAGAGGGGTTGGGCATGAAACAAAATTTCTGCCTTTACAGCACCATTGGCATCGCTGTTGTTCTTGAGCTTCGTGACTATGCATTTATGATGTTCTTGCACTGCGATATGTCCCAAGGTTTCTAAAAAAAAAAACGAAGTCTTACAAAAATAGCAGCCCCACTACAGTGTCATGGCGCCAGCGTAAACAAATAAAACCTTCGCCCACGGAACAGAGCAAACACTTGTCTATATGCGAGAAAAAAAGTAAGCTATTGAAGTTAAACATATATATATATATATATCCCGGCAGGAACAGGAGTACCTAGCGAGGCCACACGAACGAAAAGCATAGCGTACGTCTCAGTATGAACCTTATTAAAAATGAAGCTTTTGCTAGCTGGGTCACTATGCCTAATACGGTGTGTTTAGCGTACAGAAAACGCAACACGGAAGAAAGTAGTAGCGCTGTGTCTGTCACGTTCTTCCGTGTTGTATTTCGTGTGTTCTACACTTACCGTCTCAATATGAACTTAAAGGGATGCTGAACCGAAATCTGGATTCCAGAAAGCACGCGGCAAAAGCGTGCAACGGGATGCTACAAACACCAAAACATCACTCATCCAGTGATATCTTGAACGGATGACTGTATTTTTCAAGAAAAAGAGGCGCATTTGGCACAAATGATCACGTCATGTTTCTCCGAGAAGGAGAGGGAACGGCCTCGCGTCTTCTCCGCCTCGCCGCCTTGAGGGAGCGAAGCGAATAGAGGAGGAGACTAACTATCTTGACGTCACGCGACTCGTCGGCCTGGTTCAATCTCGACCTCTGTTTGCAAAAATTCGGCCGTCCATTCGAGATATCGCCTTACGAGTAGTGTTGTAGGGATTGTAGCGTCCTGCCTACATCTTCTGCATTGCTTTTTCTGAAATCCAAATTTCGGTTCACCATCCCTTCGAGGTCTTAGAATTATCTTAGGTAAAGTATATGGTGACACAGCAACGAATTACTTCGTGCAATTATATATATATATATATATATATATATATATATATATATATATTAACATGTTCACCTAATAGTTTCTATTTAATATATACCTTGCTGTAAGCAACGATGAAGTCGAACTGCTAAGATACTGTTTACATTCCAATGGCAGCGATAGCTGCGCGAATACTATGGTGTGTCTTCCTAAGTAAACGCAAATGCACGTCATGAAACGTAGTTGCATTTCGTTCAAAGAGAGAAAACAAAGTAAGGAATACAAAAAATATATATATTTAGTCGTCTTACTGAGGAGCTTGCTTGACTCCGAAGCGTTGTGAGTGCCAAGTTTCCAGGCAGTAACACCTGGTATGCCTAGGAGAAAATAAATGTGAAGAACAGACACTTGATTATTTATATGGTTCGGAGGCACGCAAATATTTTCTTACCCCAGATGTTCTATTTTTTTGCAAAAAATAAAAGTTTCAGCTCCATAATATTCTTCATTTACGCTAGACAGCAGAAACAAGAACTAAACACATTTCTGAAGAACATATACCAGGAAGTCGAAGGATACCTAAAGCACATAAAACACACGCTTTCACAAAATTAGATGGATGAAGGAAACATACTATAAGTGTGTGTCTTGAGTCAGGTCAACTTATAATGCTAAGATATTTATCAATCGCATTCTGCTGCTATGTGATCGCCACCGAACGACATTTACGTATCCAGCATTGTGGAATGCTATTTGTTTTTATTGTTTTGTTTTATTTATCAGCGTCCGCGATAGCTTAACTTTCTGTTGGTCCACTGAAGGCCAGCAGAGGTTCTGTCACGCATCAACCTTCTGTTGTGCCCACACCTCCTTTTTCTATATGCTGCGAATCTCACCCAGAAAACAAACGAAAGCAATTATAAAAGTAGCAAATCTTTTGTTTCTGATTTCGGAACAATGATAGCCTGCAAGATACTGCAGATGTGTGTGTAGGTAATTTATTAACGCGTATTGATTGGTCCTCGCATGTTGTGCCATGGATCAGGCGCAAATTGAATAATTTAGGTACTGTGACGTACGATTAGCTCGCCATTTGTTTTCGCTTATAGCAACTATCGCTTGGAGTAAATTTTCGCCAATAAAAATATATACTCACCGTAAAAACAACTAGTATACGTCATGCAATAGAAACAAAAAGCACACGATATTTAATGCGCGGAAAACAAGTAAAGAGGAAACCTTTTCAATTCTTTTTAAAAGTTAGGGCAGCGAAATGTACTTCTCGTAACGCGCAGGCCAAGCCTGCAACACTCCACAAAAAACAAGAAAAAAACAAGCAGGTTCTTATCTTTCCAGACATGATTAGCGCGCGCTCGAAGAGGAAAGAAACGAATCCCCACAAGATCCCTGGGCCGAATTGTTCGCGGCAGGCACCTCACGCCTGGAGCCAAGTACCCAGACGAGAACCATGGGTTCGCCTTTTCCGGAACCATTCTTTTACGCCGTTCTCGTAACCGCGATTTCCACGTCCGACATACAGCTCATTTTGAGCCGCAAGCAACGGCTTTCCGAGTCACACTACACGGCGGAAGAATCGAGCCTGGTAGGAGAACGCAAATTGTCCGAAGTGCAAGTCAGGAGAACGGCTCCTCGGAACGGAAAACCAGCCGTAAAACAGCGACGGCGCCCGAGACAAGGGTAAAAACAAAAACTACAGTTTGCTGCGCTTCACTTTACGCAGAGCCCAGAGGACGCCAGGAGCCATCGAAACCAATTCTATGTCCTGATAGCGTCGCATCACCTTCGCGAGGGGCGAAGAGAGGCGCGCCGCGCGTAGTCACGTGAAACGTTCGCAGCCCTTGATTGGCCGTGATGCATCGTTGCGTCCACCGCGGTCCATCGCGAGAGGAAACGTTGTATGCTCGCACGCAAATGCCGGCTTCGTTTTTTCATGAAACGAAGCAGGAATGGTGTATGTCTCTCTTCGCGATCGAGGTTTCGGCGTTTCTTTTTTTTTTCTTTTTTGTATGTGTTCGGAATCGGAAGTAGAAGTCATACCGGTGAGGCCAAGAAGAAACCAGAGCGCTCGAAGTCGAGAAAAGCGCAAGATGGGGATACTTCGCGCCCCCTCGCGGCTTAGACGCGAACAGACAGTTACGTACCACTCCCGAAAAAGAAGCGAATAAACGAAACAAACAAAAAGGGAGGAGGAACAGTGGGTCGAACTGGATTGTATTTTCTATTTCTTTTTGTGCTTTCTGGTCTGCTTTTCATTGCTGTCTACGTTCAGGGATGGCGAGGAACAGCAGAGTCAACCCCATTCGTCTTGGAGCTATACGACAGGCAGTCTGAGGTATCGTTCCGACTGTGCCGCTTTGTGGCCGGACTGTTCTGAATTCGTCTCCTTGAGAAGGTGACCTTCGGGTTCGGGGGTCCTGCGGTTTAAAAAGTTTGGCGTTCGGCCATCTTCGTCTAGCGGATACAGGAGAATATCCGAGACTTAAGGTTTTTTTTCATATTTTTCCTTTATTTTGTTAGGAGCGATACGCCTCCGGCCCCGTTATTCCCAGAGCCGTTCATCGCAGTGATTGACATTTCCAGTTCAGCTAAAACGCCAATGCACGGCAATATTTAAAATGCAGAACACGAGCTTGAACGCAATTCTCTCATTGTGCATAGCGTGCTCCTGGCCAGAAGTGGGCAAAAAGGAGGGGGGGGGGGGGGGGGAGGGGGAGCCTCAGGAAGTAGTGTTATCGCTAAGTATATCTGAATAGAAAAAAAAGGGGGGGGGGGGGGGGCATGGACCTCACAAGTTTGTTCTTCCCTGTTGTGAACCGCGCAGGGCACTATCCCAAATTCGCGTTACGAATTTTCAGAAATACACAAACGTGCGCGTAAGCTACGGATTCGGGTATTACGAGAAATTCGCTAAACCTAGAGGGCAACGTCTCGCCCACCAGATTTCGCGGATTTAGCTGACTCTAGGTACAAAACTATCGCGCCCATCCGACGTATCGGAAGTCCGTCAAGCACGAAAAATACAGGCCGAATGTCGGAACCAGCATTATATCCGCCCGTCGAACACAGATTACACCTTTCCACAAAAATATCTATTTTTCTTTTTCAAATCAATGGTTTTGGTGTGTGCACTCACCCGCTGCTCCGGGATGGCCGGGCGCACCCTTCTTGCCCCGAGTGCCGGGAAGGCCTGAAGGGATTGACGTTGAACGCTTTAAGGGCGCGGTCACACTGCCTATACTTCGTACAAAAGACCGTGTGTGCATACATATCTCAACTCGAGTCAAAGCGAGATGCATGCATGGTATGATGCATGAGTAGTGTGACCCCGGCTTTAGCCTTCGGCCCACTGCTCATTCATCGCACAAAAAGACACGGAGTTTCGCCGCAGACACGATGAAAGACTTCTCTGCGGAGACGCCTCGTGCATGTTTAAGCCATGTTTGCCTCAAAAATATGTAAGCTTGTAGCGTGTCGGCAGACAGTTCATGTATTACCAATGTAATAGGACCGTTGGAGAATAAATGAACATTCCTCAGACAGTTTGCAGACTGTCTTTTTGTGTAAAGTATACTGAGCGTCGCGTGAAACCTGATGCTCGCTGCGCAAGACTGTTCTCGGAGGTCTAAACACATAGTGCCTCTCGCCATTCGCCGAGCTCCAGCTTTAGCTCGCACCAGGCACGTAGCCGGGGGGGGGGGGGGGGGGGGGGGGGGGGGCCATGGGGACCGCCTTCTCTTCCCGAAATCGTCTATTTTGCTGGGGCCTCCTCTCTCCCCTCCCCCTCATACAGCAATCTCTCATAAGCTCTCTTCATTGATTGAGTAACGGCAACAGATCTTATATGCCATATTATCCCTATTATCTTTTACTTTTTTCCAGTTTTTTACTCTAATATAAGCGGTAAGGGAGTAGTACATTATGAGCAGTACAGGCCCCATAATAATCTTTATATTATAAACGTCTGACACTTCAACACATCTAAGTTTCCAACAGCAATTTGATTGGCAGGTTCTTAAATAAATAATAATCTATCGTGGTTTTTGAGTAGTCCTCTTGCTGTTTGCAATAAAGCCAAAAAATTCTAGATCTCTATTGCGACCTTCTTAAGCTGTCAATGACAGTAAAGTGTGTTGAAAGCAACTTGAATTTGCAACACCAGCATCGTAAAAACAAGCGGTAAGTTTAAATTCAAACAAAAATAACTCACCAGGAGGTCCCGGAAGTCCGGGTGGACCTCGAGGTCCCGACATACCAGGAATCCCTGCAGAAATAGGAAGAAATTTTGTTTGCTCAGGATTTTAGCGGTAAGAAATGTCTGAAATGTAGGACACGAATTATTCTGGAAATGCTATTCATTCACGTTTTGCTCGCAAAAATGTTCGAGGGATATCAGCCACCAGAATGAGTGGCTGGGCGAGTTGGTTAGATATGTTGACTTAAAGGGGCACTGACACCCCAAAGGTCATATCTATTTTTATTGTCTAAAACGATGCAAGTTGCAGTCATAAACACGCAAAAAAAAACCGCATCGCGAAAAAAAATTTTCCCGCGCGCGCGCGCGCCTTTTTATTTTTGGCGTTTGATTTTCCCGCCTCTCGCCTCCTCGCTTCTTTTGATCGGTGACGTCAAAAATCAGGAAATTTAGAAGCTTTGTAGGCGACATCTCTATAACATTTAATTACGGCAATCCTAAAACATGTTTTTTAACGCAATTGCGAACGCACTACGGCCCTTCTTTTTGAAATACCAAAAATCGGGAGTTCGCTGTGGTGCCGTCTCCTGGATGTGTATCCTCCAACGGAAAACAGGCGACACCGCTCAAAACCGGTCCGCCGCAACGCCGGGCGCTCGCTCCTTTCCTCCTCGCTTTGGGTCGCCATGGCAACAGCAGGGAGTGGTGAAAGGAAGTCGACTCTCAGGTCTCCGCAATTTTTGACGTCAAGGCACCGGCGCCGATCGCGCGGGAACTTCGAATTCGGCATTTGGAAATTGTTTTTTTACTTCACAAATACTGAATTCCCAAATCTCAAATTTTGAGGGTAATGTCCCGGCATCGTTTTCAACCGTTTCGGATAATAAAAAAAATATGATTTTGATGTGTCAGTGCCCCTTTAAGCATCGCAAATAAGGTAAGGAAGGAAATAGTGGTCGACTCAGCGCTCTTTCCTTCCTGTTCTCTCTTCCCTCCTTACCTTATTTGCGCTGTTTAAGTCAACGTATCCGCCACCGCATGTGTCCTCGAGTTGCCAGAAGCGGACGTGAGCACTACGTTTACACAATATTAATTCCAAACTCGAGATTGTCCACGCGGTCGTCCTCTGTGAGGGCGACTGATCCGTCATTTTGTTCAAGATAACATTTCCGAGTTTGGGCTAAATTTTCAGAATAGCTCTCGCTCCTGGCTGGTGAACATTCTGCACTAGCCAAAATACCCGGCAAGCATTTTATTTGATGTTATTGTTACCTTTTTTTAGGGGGGGGGGGGGCACATACTTTTGTGGATATATATATTGCAAGTTCCGTGTCTGCACCGCTCCTAAACTTACCCACCATAAATATTGCGTCTTCTACTGGCAGATGAGTAACGTAACGATTTGTTCAAATATTCCCGTACCTGACCAGGTGGCTATATTTTTATTTCTATCTTTTTTTCTAGCCGGTTAAGGCAAGCACGCCGTAAAGACGACGAGTGTCATGACCATACACATTTGGCGATGCCTCGATGGCGCTGCCATCAAGTGTTGTCCGCGGCAGAACGTGATGGGAAACTGGGAGTAGGCAGTAATACTTACTTGCCCCATTCCTATTTTATACTTGTACTCATTTATTTAAGTGTCCCCTCCGCATTCGCCTCTGTAATTCCTTCGAACCGTGTGGCAATATATAACTCAATAAATAATGTAAACTCCAATCTACAGAGTCAGGCCCACCTTTTGATTTTGCATCTGGTTGATAAACCGTAAGAAAATTCGAGGTAAACGTTAAAAACAAAAAGCGTTCTTGGTGTTTTAAGCTCTTTCAAGGAAAACGATTCGGGCGATGGAGGAGCACCAACCTGGCTGCTTCCTTCGCAGTGACTTCTTCTCCTCCTCATTTCGTCGATACCTGTATGATCCGGAGCAGGTCGAGTTCATGGGTCGACTCCCAACGGTGCCATTCGCAAAACAAAAAAAAAACAACGTCCGTCCGCTGCCCTCCCCGAGGAGCCCCTAACCTGGTTCTTCCAAGCCCGTATCGCCAGCTTCCCGAAGTTCCAGCGTTCATGATACTAGTTTGTTCTCTTTTTGTCCAAACACAGAATAAACTAAGAATCGAAACCCAACAACACACACACGCTTTTTTACTGTTATTTTCTGTAATTATTTCAACTCCACTGACCGAAGCCAATAGGCGTTGCCAACCGAAAGTAGCACCGAGACGCGCGCGTTAAATGTCGACACAAGAACCCTTATACTTTGTTTCAAGGCTGGCGGTGGATGGCGGTGGATAGCAGAGGACGCCGCGAGCCATCCAAGCCAATCCAATGCCGTGCGACTGCCACGTGACTTCCGGCAGGGGCGCAGAGACGTGCAGGGTGCCTTGTCACGTGACGCGTTCACAGTGCTCGATTGGATAAGGTATCTCGTAGCGTCAGCTGTTGTCCATCGTGAGGTGAAACGGTCATAGGAAAGCAAAGTGGAGGGAAAGCGTAAACTTCGGGCAAATCGGATGAACGCTCGCAAACACACACGAAAAAGAGACGAAACGAAAGAACAGGGCCATTAATAATAAAAGCAAAAATCAACGACCGGAACGAGGATACACTCGATTTTGTTCTCTGCTGTTCCTTCGTTGCCGTACGATTTCTTCGTTTGTTGCTCTCTGAACACGGTGAGAAGGTGCCTTTACGTCTTGGTTTGGAGGATATAGCTTTCGCAAACTCTTTTTTTTTCTCTCCTAAGGTAAGGCTCGATTGAATCAATACTTGCTCCAAATAAGACCCCACTTTGTTTCCTCTGCTAAAAAGCCAATTTTGAAGACGCGAACTGGTGGAGGAGAAGAGATACAACTCAAACGGCATAGAGGAGGAGAGATCTCCTTGGGCGTTTTCAGTTTATGTCCTTATAACACAACACGGCCGTTTTTTTTATAGTTTTGAATCTTGTTAGAATTCAATAGGGGTACTTTTTTTAAAAGGGTTGAAAAGTTCTCATAGATTAGCTCACGTAAAATTAGCGATCGAGAGGTTGAAGTAAAGTTTTGACATATAATTTCTTTCACTTACTAAAAATAATGCATAGCTAAAAAAAGAAAGAAAAAAAGAAATCCCAATATTTAGTTATGGAAATTGACAGTTAAATTAGCTTTTCTATAAGAAACGTGTTCCGCATAAGCACGACTCTAAACCCTAGAGTAACTGTATCAAAACGAGTCTTTGGCACATAGAAATGCAACGTCAAGCAATGAGCAACATAGAGAACCCGCGGAGAACGGAAGAAATTACTATTCGGGAGGGGGCGGAGGAGCAAATTCACGGGGCTCATTCAATGGGGTAAATAAACACACCAGGTACGTAAGGACCAGGCGAACTTACAGGGCTATCCAGGATGTTTTAGCTAACGATTTCCAAATCCCTAAAAATGGGTAATTGAGAAAAGAAACAAAAAAAAACAACCTTCCCGACAACAGACTGTTATCCAAGGCAGGCGTCACAATGTTGAAGAAAATTTAATGATTACCCAAATATTGAACTAAAACATAGTGATTATCTTTTATGTTAGTAAAAATAAACATATGATCCTAATCATAAACTTGCTAAGCATCTTGGAAAACCACTCAATCCACTCATTTTAATATCATAACAGGCAAAATATCATTTAATGGTGACCCCTCCCCTCTTCCCCCCTTCCCCCGTCCAATAAAAAAAAAACGCTCAATTGTGGCGCGTTTCTAGGTTTCAGTTTCTTGTCGGAGCGCATCTCTTCGCCAGCGGTTCTTCTCCCTAGTGACCTAGACGTGCACCACGCGAGCGCCATATTTCCCTCCATCCTACGAGGGAAGCGAGGCGGTGCCCTCGCGCCTCGCTCACCCGGGAGCAGGATCGCTGGCGCAAAGACGAGTTCCGATAAGAAACCGAAACCTAGAAACTCGTTTAGCTTGAGCGTCTTTAGGAGCGCCGTTTATTGCGTGCCGTGTCTCATATATTCTTAAAGCAAATGGATTTAGTGATTATCGAAGATGCTTGGCAAGGTTTTCATTTGAACTATGTTTTAAGAATTATGTTGACTTAACCTCGGAAGGGGAAAAATAGGGAAAAAAATTACAACTTCACTCGCACCTTTAAATTCCCTCATCACATACATTCGGCATAATGTGAATGAGAACAAAGCGAACCTACAAGTAAAATGTTTCAAGCAGGTTATAGATGCTGTTGTAAATACCGCTCAACAACCCTCGTAACTAGAGTACAATACGCACAGTACTGAAACACACAGCATAAAACTTCTCTAATATGCACAACTTTTTGCTGTCCATTAAATAAGCACCCAAGCCAAAGTGCATGCTTACTCCACTAGCTTTACTTTTTCAAGGCCTTTTCTCAGGCCCTAAGGTGGCTAACTCTCTACAAAGCATGGGCTAATACTTGATGCCTACTATTAGCTTCTCTGTCGAATACAAATGGCAGGTCTCTGCTTCTCAACCCTTTCCTGTTAAATATTTATAAAATATTGTTTCATAGTTTTTGATCAAATTCTAAAGTGTCGCGCTAAAAATTGGGTGTTCACCTCCCTCTTTCAAATATATTTATCAGAACGCAAAGCATTATAATGTTGTTAGATGACGTTGATTTGGTTCAGTCTGCACGAGTGACTATGACCTGCTAACTTATAAATGTAGTACAAAATATGCTAACCAGGCCTTTCTATATTTGGCCTGTTCTAAGCACAAGAAATAATTCAAATCTCGCGGCTTGTCCCTCTATGTTCAAGTTTATTCGAATCCCTTCAGTTGTTGAACGCAGAAACAAGGGGTGATAACTCACGATCGGTTCAAGGAAGACGCCCGTTGTATTTTTTTCACTCAAAAACACAACTGGTTCCTTTTAAGAGAATGAGCCCTTGCTGCAGCTGGAAGGTAAGTTATTTCTGGAATGATTATCACAACGATTCATTATTATTTCATTAAGTCTAACCATTAATAATGTTATAGTATACTGTAAACAACGAAACACTTTCTGCCTTAAAAGGTCATCAGGTTCAAAGTTCGATGACCTTAGTAATA